TGATTACCAGATAACGGAAAATCAAATTATGAGAATCCATGAGCTTACACAATGACCAAATAAAAAGATAATTGCTTTTTAAAGACTGTAACCAAGAAATCTAATGTAAATGAGGGTCTGGCACTGTGCCAATTTGTATTCTAGTTATATTTGGTCTGTAGATGTCTATTTCTCTACCTCTGTATTTTAATGTTCATCTCACCCAGTGATTCTGTTTATGTTACTTTCACCATACATTTCCACCACACAGAAAAGTATAACATGAGAAATCATCATTTAGCAGTGGCAAGGTATATCGACCAAAAATACCCCAGGCACTTCTGAAACAATTCTTTATAATTACTTTGCCCACTGCAGTTCAGGTAAGCCAACACTACAACATTTAACTTTGGCAGTTAGTCTATATTCAGTTAAGAAGTGTCTGAACTTACCCTGAGCATTTGAGAAAACCCACAGGGTTATTAAGACAGTAAGCCACAACAACCCTCTCCTCTTCAGCATAACTCCTATGAATAAACCAAAAAGTAGTAAGTTTTAGGGAAATCATATTTCTATAATAACTTTCTATAACTATAAAGAGTGCAATTTTCTTCATGAAATGCCATAAACAGCAACTATATATATAAAATCAGAATTTTAATTTTGACTTATTCTTGTAACGCTTATTCTGGGTCTATTCTCGATGGCAGAAGTAAAATGTGACATCAGGTGAAGGGAAGAGGAATTATGAAAATGCAAATGTCCTTAATAAAAAGGAAATGCATACAGAAAATATACATTATTATTTTCTTAATGAAATTTCAGTAGCTGGCCATATGACAGTACAGGATATACAGCATATTGCTAGCATATCTTTACTTTGGAGCATAATATTCAGACAAAAATCCTTGTAGGATAATGGGATCTAAACTGGATGATTCTGAGTAATAGGGGCACTTTTCAGTACCACTGTAAGAACACTCTCTTTCATAGATATATATATAAATATACACAATCGTCTGTACCAAACCAAAACTGGATAAAGTGACTCTTAACGTGATGCCGGGTTTGCCCTGTAGCACTGTGCACTTATAAACCACATAATTGCATCTCCATATGTGTCTCAGCTCACAACGAATGGAGCAGAAGCATTCCCCGGAATGCGTAGCAATCCAGTTCTCTGGATACAGCCAAATAACTTCAGCACTGCCAACTCCACACATTATTGCAAAGATTCAGGGATGCCGCCAGCGCTTCCTGTCTACATTTTCTTTATTCTACACGGAATTCCTATTACCTGGCATCCCCAGGGTACCACCGCGACGGCCAACTACCGGCAGCAGCCAGGATGCCTCTCTCACCTCTGGAACCCAGCGGCTCCCAGCGGGACAGAGCCTGCCTGGTGCCCCAGACCCGCCCGCCCCGCGGCTGCTCCCCTCACCCCGCACCCCGAGATCCCGCGGGGTGGGCAGCGGGGCGACTGCCCAGGGCGAGCTCCGAGCGGGCTGACAGCCCCCTCCGCCCAGAGCGGGCTTGGCGGGCACGGCACCGCCCGCCTGGCGCCTCACCTGGCATCGGGGAGCCGACGGCGCGCTGGGGCTCTGCGGGGCTCTGCGGGTCGGGAGGGAGCGTGGCGAGCCGCGCTGCTGCCGACGCCGTCTCAAGTGCCTCCGCGGCCCCGCGCCCCGCGCCTTTATGGGCTGCGGGCCGGGCCCCGCTGTCAATCAACGGCGCCGGGGTGCGCCCCCGGCTCGCCCCTCCGCGGCGCTGACACAAGCCCCGCCGCCCCCTCCCCACCTCGCCTACCTGCGGGTCCACCGCCGGCCCGGCCCGCCCCCGGCGGGCGGTGCAGGGGCGGAGCGGGGGCCGGGCAGGACGGCGGCGGCCGCCCCCGGGGAGCGACCGGCGCGGCGGGGCCGAGCGCGGCGGAGCCCCCGGGAGGCGGCGCCAGGGCCCGCGGCGGGGCGCGGCGGGGCCGGGACCCGCCGGCGGGCGAGCCGAGCCCGGTTCCGCGGCGGGATGTGCGTCCTCGGTCCC